ACATGTAAATGACTGACTACATTATACAATATATATTTTCATTTACCTTTACATTCAGTTTTTGCAGAGTCTTCTGTTCATATGCCATGGAACGGTAAATTCTCCTTTTGTTTTTGAACTGTAACAAAATCAAGTTACATTAAACACTATACAGCTACACCAGGCAGAGTAACAAACTTAAGCAAATAGCAATCATGATTACCACAAACTTGATACCCAGCACCCTCTAATTTCTGGTAGCATCTGCCTTACTTGTTTATTCCCTTCTACATAAAAACCTCATCTGAAGGATTCAAGACAGCCTGGACGATAACCACAATAAACAGTCCAAAAAGTACATGTAATCATAGTCATAATTGTATGAATAACTAATACATAATTACTCCATAAGTCAATGCATACCTCAAGAACTGGAGGTGATCCTGATAACGGATAATCAGTGAATAATCTCTCTTCTTCAAGAAACTTGCCTGACTTTCCATTGCATGGTGGGTCATAGAATCCATAGTTTGCAGCATCTTTCACATTCTAAAATGTTCACAATGTAATCAAGGGATAAGATTTTAAAATGTTAACTTTTTCAAGGTCACATATTATAAGGCACCAGATTAAATTTAAGTAAGGAGGAGGAGGCCCTCCCCCCCCCCCCTCACACCGACCAGTTTTTTCTTTTAGCTCTTATTTCCTGACAGTAACTCTTTAATAAAATTTGACCTCAAAGTTGTGTTTTTTGAAAAACATCACAGCATGCTGCTGTTATGGCAAATTGTGATGATAGGAGGAAACATAAAGTACATGTATGTCTGTCTCAGCTTCTTAAAAGAAGGCTGGCAATTTAGAGTTTCTTGTACATGTATCCTTACCTTAATTAAATCATTAATCACATGTAACTTTGCATTCCATACTTTGTCGTGAACATCAAAGTGATAAAGTTTCTGTAATATTGAACAAGTATATTATTTAACAAAAAGTTAAAATCAAATTACACAGAAACTGGATGATAGAAATTGAAAAGTTCTATGTTCATTCTAAATGGGAACTAAGCTACAGGTAGATCATCGTATACAATCTTCCACTGAGGCAGTGCAATGCCTACAATACCTATATTTATATCTCAAATAAAGATTTGGTGCCCAAGAGCCTTAGGGCTAATAACACCAACCCAAATCAAGACTATTAGAACAGCCTTTAAGACTGCCCTACCCACCAAAATACTTAAACAGGCACACCATTAAACCTAGTCTCAGCCCAGGTATGATTACATGACTTGCCACGATAAAATTAGATTTCATCAGTGAAAAAACATGAAAAAAAAAACCAATATAATCAGAAAAATTAAAAAAAAAAAAGTTGCAGAGAGAGGAAGTAGAGAACAAAAAATGTTTTTAAAAACGAACACAACCAAACAATACAAATATTGAGCAGATTACAACTATGAAGTACATGCATGTGGGACAATGCACACAAAAACTGTTTGAGAACACCCTAGTCAGCATAAAACAACCATTGAATCAGCCTTGAAAATAGTAGTGCAAGATATGAAAAGCTCAAATATGCTAGCTATCAGATTGCTGGCCCAGAGTTGAACACCTATCTAACCCATTATTTAAATAGAAGAATACAAAGTAGGTTGCTGACCTGGATTTTTTTGTCTGGCATAGAAACTAGTACTTCAATAGTGACACCTGTTTCTGTCCCACCACTGCTCTCAACCTTAACATCATCCTTCATCTTGAACCTCAAATGAAATCCTTTGTTGATGTTGATGAACCTTTATCCATTGCCATTGAACAAGCTTGGTGTGTCAAATTCATTTTCCCTACAAAAAACAATATGGTTGGTCAGTCCACAATTTTGTTTTTAATTGATATGCCCTTTAAGTGGCTGGAAAGACTACAAATACATGAAAAAATTCTCATAAATTACACTTGTCTTACTATCAATAAAAATACACTGACACCCGTTTTTGGTCACCAAACACAAAGCATTTTTCAAAATAGTTACTACAGTAGAGATCTCTGAAAATACTGCCAAGCAATATAGTTCAACAGACCCAATTTGTAAAGAATTTTTTAATAAGAAACTCTTACATCAACTGATCACAGGATCTACAATTTGGCACATGCACTTTATCATTTATCTACAAATAAAGGGAACAGGAAGCATTCATCTTACATTTGCTGGCACTGAAGTTATTGATAACAGCACAAAAACAAATTCATGAGCATTTTATCCTTCTTCTGGCAATAATTCTTTTTTCAAATAAATCAAAGTAGATGTGAGACCTAAGTTTCTCTTTTCATCCTCTGATTTGACAAAAAAAAGAATAATCAAAAAGTAAAGAAACCTTCTTGCTAGGTAATATTTTCACAAAAAAAATATGTTTAATAGCTGCACACATGATCATGAACCTGTTCTTACAAGCATAGGAGATGGACCAAAAGTCAAAATTCTTATCATTCAATAATGTGTAAGATTACTTAAATTATGAGCGTGCGTATGGTTAGCAGTCATAGATGGAATACTTTGCTGTCTGTTCAGGTGGAAAAATAATGAACCTTTAAAGACAAACTCACAATGGACAATTGATCACAGAAATTACTGCCGTAATAAGCCTATGAAAGACAATAGATCAGAAATCTGGACCAAAATCTCCGTATTATTATGCGATATTTCAAGCTTTCGAAAACACAACATCTTCACAATATAATCAAATACCACAAAAACGTCAACGACACTTAAGCTTACGTTTAAATCTCCCACAGACGAACTTTTACAGCTACTGGTTTCCTGTGAAGAACATTCCTTCAAGGGGAGCACTAGGTAATTTCACGCTTTCAAAGAAACTGTCTCGTTACATGAACAAATATCATTTTTTCACAAAACATCCAATATAGAAAATTGGGAATACAAACTGGTCAAATATCTTTCCTCTGTAGCTCGAACTAAGCGACCAGAAATTTAATCGATCGTAATGGTGAAACCTCAAACAGTCACGAACGCCAAATAAAAAAACCTGACCTTCGCAATGGGAACGCTATCGTAACGGAGAAATATGAGCTGAAACATTTCACAGACAATAGTACTAGAAAACTGAAATGAGGAGAACAAACAATTCATACTTCAGGTGGTCGTTCTGAAAATTCTGATAGGGTATAAGGTTTTTAACATCCATGCGATAAACTGTAAGATATTCGGGTACGGAAACTACACTATTTACCGGGTGGTGAGGGAAATCACGACATATTCGCTCATAAACAACACAGATGCCCGGCAAAATAATTTTCAGCAAACCAGACATCAGCCGCCAACCAATAATTTAGTAATCTTCGGTCAAAAATGCCATTTATTCGCGATAAATACCTGCCCTTTTTTAAATTAGTTAGTCCAACTTGGATTATGTTTGAATCAGGACAGTTTCAAGTGGGTACAACAACAGAATTCGCGCAAATGCAGAATATGAGCAGAGTTGTCTCATATAGTACAGATTTTCCTAGCAAAATCGCTTGACTCACCTTTTCTTCTCCAAATCAAGAAACTCATATAGTGTAAAACTCGACGAATTTTCAGGTGTCTTGCCCCACTACCCGACGTACAATAACTTCACTTTTCAGACGCCATTTTTTGCGTTCATCGCAACCAACGTATCATTTACATGGCACGTGACCGAAACCGCGAAAACTAATTGGTTGATTGATTCGTGACCTGACAAAGTACTCAAACCCCCAATGTTTGTTTCTTTTGCCGCGAAATTTTCATCGCAGAATCACAATATCTCCGCAAACAAAAAATTGGCTTAATCAATCATCGCTCCAAAGACAACACGAAACTGATTCATTTGAATAATCGCCTCGCCAAATTCATCGCATATTCAAGTACATTGATTTCATATTCTGGATGTTTCAATAGAACATTCTACGTGTCATACCTTTTGAGCGTAGCTTCCGGCGGTTCATTCTAAAAACAAAAGAAGAAAAAGAATTGAACTAATCGGTGAAAAAGTTTGAGTGACTCTATTGTTTGATCAAGAAAAGAAGTAGAAGGTTTTGGATGATAAGGATGGGATTATAAATAAAAATAACAACATCTACCGGAAACGATTATTGTATCGCAGTCGTAATCGTAAACTATGTAAGCAATTCGTCTGAGAAAGCCTTGTTACGCGATAAAATCAATATATAAGTCTACGGAGCTACTTTCCATTCTTCATTCCATTTCTGCAGGATGATGTCTTAGAAATTCGGTTGCGAACCTTATACTTTCCTCACTCGGTCGCATGGCATCACGAAATTCGGCGTGACTACAGTTAATTAGTTGTGAATATTTTCGTCAAGTTTACTAAGAAGTGGAGGGTTACTTCGTTTGGCACCGTTTTATACTGAGTCTCTTAATATGCTTTTAAATGTTACCCGAACAGTGAGTTTACATCTTGTAAAACTTATAATACTCCTTTTTTTTTTTGGAAATTTCTAACACAATTTTTAATTAAAATCTAGAGAGAATGGACGCTTGGATTTTAATTAGATGTTAAGTATCATTTAATTTCTACGCAAAAACGTGACAAAGCCAAATAGCGAAACGAAATAACTATAACATCAATGAAGAATCAAAATATTTTTTAACAATATCAATGAAAAAAGAGTTCTATGATCTGAATTAAATTTCATAAGACTGACTATCCTCCGTAAGGGTCCTCATTAAACAATTCTTTGGTAGACTGTCTATCTTCATTTCCTTTCGTAGAAAGACATGCCAAAGATCCAGTGCGTTATCACTTAGTCTTTCTTAAGCAATGACAGTTTCCTCAAATCCTCTCAACTTAATTTGTCCGCTTTATACGCCGTTCAGAGTTCAGTCTAAAGAATAAGAGCGCCTTGAGTGAGAGGATCTCTTGTCCAACCGCGACTCTTATCTTAAAATGAGAGAGCTTTGGCGCCTATTCTTGGACTTGAGACTGTAAAATCATCAATTTTTCTTACATAGACCAATATACCCAGTACGATATTCATTTTCTTTTCATTTTATTTTATCGTGATTATTATTATTATTGCACTCTGTCAACAAGAGGAGTTGCCTTACTTTGGCGTCTCTTCTCGAAAGGCCCTTCTGTATAACAATAGATGTAAGAATACTTCAATCTGAACCAACTGAATTACCTGAAGCAAGCTTTAAAAAAGCCTAAAAACTGACGAGAGTCAGTATTTTATCATATCATGTTTGATATTAACCTGAGTGTATGAAATTGAGATAATTTAGTTCATCGACTGATTTGATGATGTGAATTGGCCACGGTGGCTAGTTTACATCATCAACTCAATGACAGAACCAATTGATCTTAATAGCTCTGTCGACGTAGCACCACAGTTGCAATAAAAGTGGCTGCCAGTGGTATGATGGTCGGTTGTGCCCGGAAATGAAAGGAGCCGTCAGGCGAAACCCAAAACACGAGAGCCTGCTGGCAAGCTAGACAGACGATGATGAGGGGCCTTTTAGGCGGTGGTAGAACGACAGTAATCGGTTTTTATCGAAAGCTCTAACCAGTTTCTATAGAAAGTTACCCCCTTCATCAAAAGTATAAAACTAAGATAATAATAGCTCTATGTTATGCCTTGAAAAAATTATTCTAAATTTGCTTATTATTTTAAAGCTCCTTGAAGGAAATCAGCTTCAGTTGCAGCTGAGTTTGGTTAACCCAATTTTCCTAATATATATATATATATGGGCCCTATGGTTCACACTAAATAATTTGATCAGTTTCTTTAAAAAGTACTTTAAACGAATTGAAAGAAAAACACATTGATGCGCTGCAAAGCACAGAATGGTAGAGGAATTGTTGCTAATTTTCCAGCGTGAGCCACGCATGCTCTGTGGCAACAACAGTTGAAATCATCGACCAAGATCAAACTGGAGCCCAGAACCATCCAGTTTGCCAAGCACTTCTTTTTCAAATCTCTGGATCAACTCAGGAGTGAAG